TTGTATAGCTATATCTCTCTATCTATATGCATACTCTTTAAAGCTTTTTGTTACCTTCTTTTTTATATTCTGCAAAGATAGACGATCTGAAGCTAGATCCATAACATGCCGGTGTTGTATATAGAATGCCCTTGTAAGCTATTGCTAAGAATGAATACAAGTCCTATCTAGTTAAACAAACTATCTGATTGCAGAACCCGTAAGGCTATCCTAAAACATATGCATAAACAACTTTTCATCATGAGAATGTATTGACATTTTATGACAATATATGGTGATATGAGTCATTAGACATTTTGTGTCATCATATTTTTTAAATTTTGATACCTTGAATTTAGGTGAAATGACCATATTTGGGACCAAACAAAGCTTAACTGCATCCATAGAGCCATAAAAATCTATTTTCTCTATGGTCTTAAGTCCTTCTTCTAATAATTTCATTTTTTACTAAGCACTGGTATCTTTTACTTTTCAGGTATCTTTATCCCTAGCTTTTCTCTCTCTTTGAGATCATCTAAATCATAAACCAAGATTGGCTCGGGTGATTTTTTCATTATAACAGGATTAGCAAAATTTTGGAACTATCTTGGAACAGGTATGAATGTCATTCCTAGATAAGGATTGGAATATCCTTCGGGAGTAAAAATTTACACTCTAGCTCCTTAAGAAGGTTGGGTCAATCGTGGCTTAAACCCTAGAGGATATATAAGATCCACCATGTCTGGCGATTGTTCTTAAAAGCTAGGATTTTCTTTTACCAAGATTCTTGAGCATGTCTATTATCTTATCAATGTCCTACTTTAGTTCTTTTTAAGCTTTCTCCATCCTCTCAAATCGAGTGACCTATTCTCGTTTCATGATTCTTGTTTGAGCTCTGGTGTTATATGAATGGCAAGTAAGTTGAGTCAAAATTTTTGAGGGACAAGCTATTCTTGAACATTTATTACCACATAAATTTTTTTTTAAATCAGAATGCCATGTGTTGAAATTTTTATTTTTATTTTTTATGATTTTTTTTTTAAATGATGCACATAATGCATGAATGCAAGTGGAAGATATTTGCTCTTAAACAAGCTTCAACACTAGAAATTTTCATTGATTCAGACAACTTTTGTTACATGCGATTTATCATCCTAGTAAAGGATGAACAAATTTGTAATTCTATTGGATCCATGAAAAACTTCTCAAGAGAAAGATGTCCTAGAGCAAATACCTCAATGCAAAATTGTATGATATGATTTATGTAAAAAAAAAATAAAGGAAAATAAAATTGAGTTAGTATGAGGCTTTGGTTTGAAATTGAAAAAAAAAATTTGAGATTTTTCATTTTTTGTTTTATTGTTTTGTTTTGCTTTGTTTTGTATTGTTACATGTTTTGGACTTAAGTACTTTCGACAAAAGGGTTGGCAAAGCTCTACCTAAGGTTGGCTTCCTATAGCTTATTACATGCTTGATTCGGGTTAACATGCATCTAAAGGTTTTCAAATTATTTTTTACTATCATCCATGCTGGACTAGTAAAGTATATTGATCCTCACTTATTATAGGCTACGAATGAAAAAGATTCAATCTAAGTGAAAGTATTTCGCTTGCCATTACAGAGGTTATCACCTCACAAAGGCACAGATACTTTACTTCCTCTTATAAGGGACAAAGCTTGGGTATAGAGCTCATGCATGAAGTGCAACGTGTCATCTTATATGCGTATGTTTCTTAATTTATTAAAAATAATAATACATACAAGAAAAAAAAGAACAATAATAAAAAAAATACGTGTGAAATTTTTCTTTCTTTTTTTATTTGTTTTTTATTTTTTATTGATTTTTTAAAAGGAATAAAAAACTAGGAACTTAAAACTAAATACCAATTAAGAATGTTTAAAGCAAAATTAAAGATAACACGTAGTTAATTTTGGCCTAACTTTCGAAAAAAATGGCATCTCTAGTGGAGTCGTCAAGCTGTCGTAACGATTTTATGTTCGTCGGAGAAATTAAAAATGAAAAGAAAAAGTAAAAAAATATGGAGTCGCAACCAATCTTTTTTGGCTATGTGCAATTGACCACCTATTAACACATATCCTTTTAATAAAATCTTAAAATTAATTAAAATTTATTAAAAGGATAATTTTAAGGTCTGTGAAACAGTCTGAGTTAGATAGCCGATTATGTGTGGGGAAGGATTAGCACCCCCATAACGTCCGTTTTAAATGGTATCAATTAATTACGTGTTATCCATTGATTTTGATAAAACCAATCTTATTTTCGGTGTTTGAAAAATAAGTTCATTGATTTTTTTCATTTATTAGTTTTTTTTAATATCTTTTATTATTTATTGTCTCATTTTTATTCAAGAAAAATAAATCAAAACCTTTGTATTGAAATAATTCTTAAAATATTGCAGTATATTGGTAACATTAAAAGAATTCTTTCTTACCTAGAAATTTTTTAAACATCGCTTCTCGGAATACCTTAAAATCTTATTCTCGGAGGCTCAAATTTACTTTTGTAAAAAAATTATGTTGTGCATGTAATGTAAATGTTAATATATTGATGCACATATTTTATTCTCTTCTTTAGAAATTTTATTGATCTTATTTATTGAATTATTATTTTTATTGTTTTATTGAAGAAAAGAGAAAAATTTATCATATACACTGGTAAAATCTAAAAGAAAATGTTCTCACCTAAAGATTTCATAAAGCATCACTACTTGAAATACTTTAAGAATCTCATCCTTTGATAATATTTTCTTTTTCCTTATTCTTTATTTTATTTTTAATAAATTAGTTAATTTTTATTTTACTATTTTATAAAAAAAAGAAAAATTTTATTGTATTGAAATCCTTTTATAAATACTCAAATACACTAATAGTATTTAAACAAAATCTTTTTACCTAAAAATTTCGTAGGTATCACTACTCGTAGCACCTTTGAATCTCATTCTCAAATAAAAATTTTATTTTTTTCTTATATTTTTTATTATTTTTAAATTATTTATAAGGTTTTTTTTAAATTATTATAATTATCAAAAATTTAAATTATTTATTTCATTATTTATTTAAATAATAAAAATTTATTCTAAAAATTTAAACATTTTAACATGTATAAATATTAATAATAAAATTTAAAATAATCAAAATAATATATAAAAAAAAAAGAAAGTTCAAAAAAAAAATTTTTACTTGAACCTAACCTATCAACAATCCAATTAATGTCAGTTTAGGTAGGTTTGGTTAGTCGACGGTTCGACATTCGTCTGGTCTGGTTTAACGATTCAACTTCGATTTGTTCTAGTCTAGTCCAGTTAGATGGATCAGTTAGAAATCATAAACAGAATAGGTCATCGAGTTAGGTGTGTGGACCCTGAGTCGAATTTCAGGTCAACACATGAATCCTCTGGGGTTAAAACAACGTTGTTTTGACATCTTTCCTAAACAGCGTCGTTTTGAAAGCCTATTTAAAGGCCAAATAAACTGTTTTTTTTTTTTTTTAGTTTTCTTCTTCCTCTTTCTTTCTCTTCATCTTAGACACTCCTTATAGAAACCTAAAATCTGGGCCATGCTAGCCACTGTTAGTAATCGCCAGCAACTATTTGTTGGTCATCAAAAAATCTTAAAACTCACCAAATGAATGTTCCCAGACTCCTAAGTCTAGATCCGAGCCTAGTTTTGCAAAAAAAGCTCCAAACAGAGGGGATCTGACCTTGAAGGTTCAGCAAAATTGACTTTTCTTATTTCTGTGATATTTTTTGTAGATCGACACTGCGGTTCCCATTTCAAGGACTATTTGTTTTGTTTGTGTTTTAGTATTTGATTTTTCTTTTTTTCACAAAATGTTTTTTTTTTAATATGGTAGTGAGTATGTTTTTTATTTGTTTTTTTTTTTGTCTTTTTTACAGGGTTTCCTCCGTCTCCTTCTTTGTTGCCAATTCATGACTTTATTTATAGAGCAAAAAAAAAAATCAAAATCTCAAAAAATTTAAAATTTTGATGGCCTAAGATTAAGGTCACCATCGACTGTCAGAACCACTGACAGTACAGCTACAAACGATTGTCTGAGCCGCTGGCAATACGACTACTAGCAACAGACAAAAGGCTACCAAATAAAATAAAATGGTGTCTACACCATTTCATTTTTTTATTTTTAATAACAAAATATATACTATAAAATATAAGATAAAGTTAACGTCGTATTTAGATTGAAATGAATGAATGGAAGGAAAGAAAAATAAAATAAAATAAAGTAACGAAAATAGAAATATCTTCTTTTTAGTTTAATAATTTTTTAATTTCAAAAGAAAGAGAAGATGTAAAAACTCAATAACGTTTGATTTTTTTTATCATTCTTATTTTTTTAATATCCTAATTTTTAAAAAAAGTTACAAAAAAAAAGTTAAAAAAATTTTATTTTAATGAAAATACTATTATATCGATACTTTTATTAATATTACTTAAACATAATCGTATCACGATAATCTTATAATTTTTTTTATCAATTTTATTTTTCGAGTGAATTTCGCATGTATCTTTTAATATTAAAATTATTGATAAATAATTATTTTAGTGATTTGATTTTTTATAAATGATTAAACATGATTAGACATATATATGATAAATTTTTTTAGATGCATGTACTTAATATTCACATATTCACAATCTTTTATCTTTTAGATATTAATTTCTTATCTTTATTTATGTTGAATCGAATAATATATCATTACTAATCATGTAAAATCAATAAAAATTTTAAAAGTTCATGGTTCTTTGTTTTCGTATTGCAAAATTGTAATTTTTTATCTCAAATTCGATTAATATTTTTATAAAATGTCAGATCACTACCTCATAATTTTTAAGTCAAACCCAAATATTTTTACACGTTGAATAATTACTTCGTGTCCATTCAGGTTGGAGGTATGCCTCCTGAAATTTGACAATCCATGTTTCTAGAGGTGGGAGAAAAAAAAAAAAAAGCTATTTCCAGTGTTATTGGAACCATTGGATCATAGATGGTAAGGAAATAAACTCACTTAGCTTCTTCTTTGTATAGAACATCAGAGCCACAGATCAGAAAATTTTTTTACAGATCTAATAAAATGAGAATTTGAAACAACTTAAACTTACGATAGAAAATATGCAGATAGAATCACAAATGACCTGACCTTTTTCCCTTAATAAAAAAACTTAGTTATAATCAAATTTAGAAACAAATTTCTCATGGCGGGGAAGAACCCTCCTTATGCCCCCCATTGGCTCCACCCTTCTTCTGCCCTTCGACCCATAATTTCCCGAATATAACCGGAATGCGATACACGATGTCTTTCATGTCAGCTACCCAAGATCTTTAACAGTAGTGGAGAAATTTAAAATCAACTCCTCATCACGAAGACCAGCTGTTCACAAGATAAAAGTTTATCAATTAAGAACGATCTCAGAAAAATATTCTAATGTACACTAAAGGAAACCCTTCAAACGTGAAATTATTATGATCATCAAGTTTCAACATTTTTAAAGTATCATTAAATACTCTAGTAACAGAAAAACAACCTGATGTCGTATCGATTCGAGATAGAGAGAATGATGCCCCTTTTTTAACACTTGAACCATTTTTCATTGCTGACGTGGATGCTAACCTACAAAGGAAAATGGTATCAGTTAAATAATTCCTATCTTTTCTCAAAAATAAAAGTATTGGGGTAGGGGTTTGAGAGAAGAATCACTGGGTATTCCTTCTCATATCAAGAAAAATATTTAACTGTTGAGATGAGTTATCCTTTTTGTTATCCACCAACCATCTATCAAATGCAACAGTGGTTGCATTTGCAAGCACTGCATTAATGAGATTCAAAGGGCTTCCCTCCACAAAAAGCCAAGCCAGAAATTGAGTGCCACTGTATGCAAACCAAAAGAATGAATCAAAAGGTGAACTATGAGAAATGAGTAAAGTCTGCAACCAATGGATGAGGAACAATCACTGCTGATGGGAAATAAGATAAAACATGTTAAAACCAAATGCATAAAGAAATGGTACCGACTCTTATACCTGCCATCTAGAAGAAACAATGGCCGAATCCGACATCTGTTCGCCTCATTGCAAGGTCTTGTCGAATTAGGATAAACAGGCTTCGGACAGTTCTCGGGATAGGCAGCATTGCATGGTGGACTCAGATAAGGTGGAATAGTGATGGGCTTTCCGGGTAGGACATGTGCACCCAATGAAACAGTCACAATCGACAGGAAAGCAACATGGAGAGAGAACTGGTGTAGCACCTTTTTTTTCGACATATTCCTTGATCCTTCACTTTGGTTAGACACGAAATGAGATCAAATCTAATCTAACTATACTTAATTTTGAGTTCCGAGTTCAAAAGAGTGCTGTTTTGACACCTTAACTTCAGCCAAAACCACGCCTGTATAACATAGCATATTGTTCTTTCTCAAGCTACAGAAGATATAACATTTTATAGATCCATTTTATCACCCATTAGTCTTCTGAGACACCCAGATGAAATAATAAATAATTTTATTGTTTAAATAAATTTTAAAAGAGAAAATCCAGATTTTTAGGGTTTTAATTTAAATAAGTCTTATCATCCATAAATCAAGATTATTTATGCATCAAATTGTAAAAACCCTAAAAATCCGAGATTAACTATAAATATAAGTCTTATCATCCATAAATCAAGATTATTTATGCATCGAATTGTAAAAACCCTAATTTTAATTTAACCAAATCATATCATCCATAAATCAAAAGATGATTTATGCATCGAATTGTAAAACCCCTAATTTTGATTTATCCAAATCACACAAAAAAAAAATGTGAGATTACGCAATTCTACATATTTGAAATCATGAACAAACCAAGAGCATACCTTTGTAATTGATGCGAGTGGGCGCGGAAGAATCGAGACTGAGAACTGATAAAGATAGCCTCCTTCGCCTTCGCCTTCCATTGCCATACCATGCTATTTAATTTTGAAAACCCTGCCCGTCGGGCCGTCATTTGGACAAGTGGGCTTTAGTTTAGCCGAATTTGTGAGAGTAGTCGTCCATCATACCTTTGAAACTTGAATGCCCAATTCACATTCCGGTCTGTCTAAGCCAATCAACTCGTACTCTCTTTATCGATAATTGGGCCCAATCCAATCTTGTTAAGAGGCTGGGCCACATTTCTTTTTTTTTTGAACTATGCTCGACTCTCCCAAAATAAAATTTCTTAGATCTAATACTCCGCTGGCTAACTTGAAAATGAATAAATAATATATTTTCCATGATTTTTTTTAAAATGATATTTTTTATTGTTTGGAGAATTATTTTATGATTTTAACAATTTTTCATAAATATTCCATACTTCACCAGCAATCTATCAAAGATTTTTCATAATTTTAACGATAACAAATCCATCAATATTTATAATATCCGTACAAATTTATCAGCTCAAAACTCAACCCTATCCTTATTCCTAAAAATTCAAATAGAAACTCATATAAATTCATAAGAATTCATGATTTTAACAGCAATCTATTAAACTTTTTTCATTTAACCATAACAAATTTATCAATATTTTATACTATTCAAACAAATTCATCAGCTTCTAAAAGTCGAGCCTACCCTTATTTATAAAAATTCAAATAGAAACTCAGATAAATTCATAAGAATTCATGATTTTAACAGCAATCTACTAAACTTTTTTCATGGTTTTAACCATAACAAATTTATCAATATTTATAATATCCATACAAATTCATCAGCATTGAAAAGTCAAGCCTACCCTTATTTATAAAAGTTCAACTAGAAACCCATATACATTCACAAGAATTCATGATTTCTATTTCAAATCGATAAATCAGAACTAAAATTTTTAAATTGAAAGTTTTGGCTGCATGACTTTTCATTAACGTTGTGGTTTTTAGGTTTTTCAGTAAAAAAATTATTGGTGAATAATTCGACAAAAATGAAAGAACAATACAAATAGACGTAGAATTATGGGAGATCTGAAGTTTTTTTCAATTTTTTATCTGAAATATTATCAGTTTTTCTCATAACATTTATAAGAGAAGTCATTTGTTCTTCTGAAGTTAGCAACAGAGAAAGTTTCTGATATTTCACCTTGATTAGATGAAGCATCATCCATAAAAATATATTCTGTTTCATCATCAGAAGTATTTGTGCTTTGCAATTTGGTGCAATATGAGCTTCTTCTTCACAAATTATAACTCCACCATACCTGTCATATATAAGAGAAGTCATTTGTTCTTCTGATGCTGAGCTAGCAACACAGAAAATCTCTGATATTTCACCTTGATTAGATGAAGTATCATTCATAAAAATAAATTCTGCTTCATCATCAGAAGTATTTGTTCTTTGCAAGTTGGTGCAATATGAGCTTCTTCTTCACAAATTATAACTCCACCATACCTGTCATATTTAAGAGAAGTCATTTGTTCTTTCCCTTAATAGGGTAATTTGGAGCAATATAACCTTCTTCTTCACAAATTATAACTCTACCATACCTGTCATATATAAGAGAGTGAAAGGATAAAAAAAAATAGATCCAAAAAAGAAAATCGATGATTAAAGATGCATTTGAAAGCGGGTAGAAGGAAGTTTTCATTCCGTCGTCGAAAGAGTGAAATTTTATAAATTAAGCTGGATGAAAACCCCTTTCCGACATTCAACTGCACCTCCTTAAAAGAACCTGTTGATCGCCATGTTGAGAAAGACTGAGCTTCTAGATCTTCCAGATCATCGTCGCGCCTAAAATGAAATGCAGATCCAGAATTACAAACTCCTTTCTCCTGTTTTCACTGATATGGGGAACCCATCCCGCAATACGGGGAACCCATCGCACGATAATGGAACTCATCGTCGCGCCTATAATGAAATCCGGATACATAATTAGAAACTCCTTTCTTCTGTTTTCACGGAAGCAAGTAAACACTTTCTTGGCAAGCAGGTAGAACCTTTCCTAGTACGAAAGTTCAAAAATTAAACGTGAGTCTCAATTGAGTCTCTCGTGTCTAAAGGTGTCTAAAGCATTTGACACTTTAGGACAAAAGTAAAAAACGACCCATCGCCCGATCCGGGGTACCCCTCGCACGATAATGGGACGCATCGGGCGATATGGGGAACTCATCGCACGGCTTTTATTTATTTTATTTTTCTCTAATATATAATACTGGAGTTTTTTCTCAAACCAAGGTATTTTAAAATCTTTATTCTTAACACAGGATAATTTTAATTTTATTTCCCGAAGTAAGGTATTTTAGACATGGCAATATCATCTTTTTCATTATTAATTTATATAAAAATAATGAAAATATTGATTTTTTTTGCAGAGTTAGGATTTTAATAATGAATAAAAGGAAAAATTACAACAGGAGGCCAATACCTCAGAGATTCTCAACCATCTACAGGGAAACACAGAGAAAATACAGAGCTAGGGCATAACCAAGCAAAATCAGAAACAAACTTGCAAACAAGAACTGTTAACCACCAGGCCATGAACATCTCAACTCTATATATCGACTCCTGCTTTTGCTAAATCTTCTGGAATCAGTTTTATGATATTTCGTTAAGCAATCTAGGAGATAAACCTTCAAAACTCCCCAAGTTCTTCTAAAAAAATTGAAGTTAAAGGTCAGGCACTTTTGAACCTTCACCATCCCAAATAGCAACTTTGAGTTCTTCCATAGAAAAGAGAATCTCCAAATCACCATCTTCACGCACAGACAACAATCTGAATTTCAAGTTAGTTACCACCTGCTTATGCCACCAATCAGCTGCAAAATGTTCTTTGGATAAATCGAAAACCAATGCCTTAACGGTTTTATGCTCTGAGATCTCCACACCATTATTAACAAGCCCCAAGATGGCACTTCTTCTTTGCTCTAACTCTGAAATTACTAGTAAAGAATTAGAAATTTTAGCCTCTCATTCAGCCACAAAACTCAACTTCAATTTTAAAAGCATTCCACAATTCCTTAATAAAATACTTCTCTTTAAAACAAAAGTAATGGATACTTGAGTTCTTGGATCTAAGTTTTAATCAACAAGAATTTTCAACAAATATTTAGATACCATTTGAAACTGGAAAAGGGAATGCCTAGGATATATAATATCTCATAATTCTCCATTGTTTGATAAATCTCCTGCGAAGAAAACATCAACTTTATCCCTCAGTTCAATCCATTACATCAAGGGTTTCTTCAGTCCTTTTTCTTCATGAGATTTTTGACAAAAACACAGTAGGTAGAAAGAGAAAGGAAAGGCCTGAAGGAAGGAGATGATGATGTGGCTTAAAGTACCTTACTTAGCAAATAAGTTTAAAATTACCCTTAATAAAGAATAAAGACTTTTAAATATCCTATCATCGGAGAAAACCGTATAATACTGTGGATTGAAAGCATTGGTCACCTTTAAAGAAAACGACATCGATGCATCGTGTCGTGCAATAATGATATTAGAGGGACCTTTTTGTTATATTTCTCACATAGCACATTATGATATATAAGCACCTAGTCAACAACTTTTGTTTTAATAAGTGATTATCTATCTTTAACCGAAAGTATTGTCCGTAAAATTTTTTATAATCATACAATTGTTTATTTATAACATATTCTTTTGCTTTATAATAATTTTTTAAAAATAAGGTTAAAAAGTAGTAAAAGTAACAAGAGAACAAAAATCTAAAAAAATTCAGAATTGACCGGTGTTTAAACTTGTTTGTGAAGGTCTTAAATTCAAGCAAAATTCCACAACAACAGGGTGTAATGTGGGAAAACTTGTAAATCTGGGGGTTGTTAGAAGAAATATGAAAAAGCTCTATAATGAAGACAAGGAAGTGTTTGGTATGACTATGAGGAAGAACAACGTGAAGGACGTGAAGGCAGTAGGTATGACTACGAGGAGAGTTTGGACTTTTGGATGGAAGATTAGTCGTTGGAACAATTTTTTTGAGACGGCAGGGAGGCTTATGCGTTTTTCTATTTGATACTGTCTATGATTCAAGTTTGTTTCTTGAAATTAAAGAATTCTTTTGTAGGAAATTTTTTAAAATTTTAAGAAAATTTGAAAAAAAATTTATAAAATGTATCAATTCAAAATTTTAGTAATTGTAAATGTTTTTGTTTAAAAAGAAAAAGAAAAGACCATTGCAATGAAATTACCTGATATGCAAAGATTAGTATTGCTTGAATAAAAAATACTGTGAAAGAGCCTATGTCACGCCATGACTTACTTTGACATAGATATGAGAATTTAAAACGAATTTTAACATAATTTTTATTAAGTTTTAATTTAAAATTAATTAATTATAAGTAAAGGGATTAATCAATTAATTATACTTTGAATATAAAATTATAAAAAATTAAATATTTATTAAATATATGATAATATTATTTTAATAATAATATAAATATGATAATTTAAAATATAATATAATGATATAATATAAATATAATAAAAAATATAAATATAACATTATTTAAAAAATTTTATAAATTTATTTTAAATTTTCATACTGAAACGAATTTATTCTAATTTATAATTGAAAATCTAAATTTTAAATTTTCATACTAATTTATAATACAGATCAACTAGAGGACTTTCGTGACGAGAAGAAGGCAGTAATGCCAAATCAAGCCATAAGCCGAACTTTGGCTCGCTTCTCAGTGGTATCCTCGTTCTTCTCTCCATCTTTTCTTATTCTCTTCTCAAATGATTCCTTCACTTTTTTTATATAAAAAAAGGTAAAATATAAATCAATATCTCTCATTAAAATTCCAACAAGAACTCGAAAAAATTCCCTTACTCTTGAACCAGTTAGGTACAAGGATGAACGAACAAAACAAATAGACGTAGAATTATCGGAGATCTACACTTGAAAAAAAAAAAAACCTGAATAATAAATTTCTAACATTTTAAAGCTGCAACAAATTAAAACTCTACCATACCTGTCATATACAAGAGAACGAAAGGATAAAAAAAAATAGATCGAAAAAAGAATATCAATGATTAAAGACGCATTTGAAAGCAAGTAAAAGGAAGTTTACATTCCGTCGAAAGATTGAAATTTTATCACTTCAGCTTGAAAACCCCTTTCCAACATTCAACTGCAGCTCCTTAAAAGAATCTGTTGATCGCCACGTTGAGAAAGAGTGAGCTTCTGGATCTTCTGGATTATCGTCGCGCCTAAAATTAAATCCAGATTGAGACTCCTTTCTTTTGTTTCAACGGATTTGGGGAAACCGATCGCACAATATGTAACCCATCGCACGATAATGGAAAACATCGCGCGATACGGGAAACTCATCGCACGATAATGGGACCCATCGCGCGATAATGGGAACCCCACTTGGGCCTTCTAGTTATTTTATTTTTCTACGATGCATAATATTGCGGATTGAAAGCACTGGTCACCTTCGAAGAAAACAACATCGATAGCATCGCGTCGTGCAATAATGATACTAGAGGGGACCCTACTTGGGCCTTTTTGTTATTCTGTATTTCTCACGTAGCACATTACAATATATAAGCACTTACCTTAAGTTTGGATTGAGAGAAAATAATAATAATAAAAATAATAATAAATTTTTTTATTTAGATAATTTTTTAATTAAAACAAGTAGAAATTCAATAATTTTTAATTTTTTTTATAATTTTTATTTTTTTAATATCCTAATTTAAAAGAAAAGTTAAGAAAAAAAGTTAAAAAATTTTATTTTTATAAAAAGATTATTGTAGTCATATTTTTGTTATGACATAAAATTTTATTGTATAATGGACATTTTTTATAAAAATAATTTTTTTAATATTTTAGATAATATCACAATTTATAGATATTTTATAATTTTTTAAGTTTTAACAATAAAACAAGTTAAATTATTGTAAGAATAAATTAAAATATAAAATTAAAAATAAATCAATAATTAGTTAATATATATTATCATATTAAACATATTCAATTTTGTTTAAAAAAATTATTTATACAAACTAGACAGTATAAAGCTATATTTATATATTATATGTTATTTTATAAAAAAAATTATAATTAGAAAAAAAGATTATAATAAATTATTTGCTTTCTTTTTCATTAATTATTCAAACAATAGTTATTAGAATTATTTTTATTTTTTTATTAATTTTAACTATTCAAATAAATTATACATATATTTTAAAAAAAAAAAACCTTTTTATTTATTTATTTATATATATATTCAAACATAGCGTTAGCCAATAACTTTGTTTTAATAAGTGATTAGCTATCTTTTAACCGAAAGTTTTGTCTGTAAAATTTTTTATAATCATACAATTGTTTAGTTATAACATATTCTTTTCCTTTATAATAATTTTTTAAAAATAAAGTTAAAAAAGTAGTAAAATAACACCAAAATCTAAAAAATTCAGAATTGGCAGGCGTTTAAACTTGTTTGTCGAGGTCTTAAATTCAAGCAAAATTCCACAACATCAGGGCGTAATGTGGGAAAACTTGTAAATCTGGGGGTTGTTAGAAGAAATATGAAAAAGTTCTGTCATGAAGACAAGGAAGTGTTTGGCATGACTATGAGGGAGAACAACGTGATGGACGGAGAGAGACTTTGGAGTTTTGACGGAAGATTAGTAGTTGGAAGAATTTTTTTTTGTTATTTTTTGCAATTTTTTTGAGACTGCACCGAGAGTTATGCTTTTTCTATTTGAAACTGTCTATGATTCCAAATTTAAAGAATTTTTTTGTATGAAAATTCTTAAAATTTTAAAAAATTTTGAAATAAAAGGATTATAAAAAGTATCAATTCAAACATTTAGTAATTGTAAATGTTTTTGTTTAAAAAGAAAAAGAAAAGACCATTGCAACGAAATTACCTGATATGCAAGGATTAGTATTGCTTGAATAAAAAATACTGTGAAAGAGCGTACGTCAGGCCGTGACTTACCTTGACATAGATTGGAGAATTTAAAACGAATCTTAACGTAATTTTTGTTAAATATTTAATTTAAAATTAA